GAACTACTCTTAGTTCGATTGAATCGTCTGTATACATAATCCTTTGGCCAAACAACACTTGTTTGCTTTAAATTATGTACCGAAACACTCTCATTGGTTAAACATTCATAATGTTCATCCAATGTGCATCAAAATCTCGGCTCAGACACTTGAAACGATGCAACAACTGCATCTAACAAAGTCTGATCAACTGACTCGGTCCGAGTCAACACTTGACTTGGTCCGAGTCAGAAGCCGAAATCATCTACAGATCAACCTGAACCAAAACTTGACAACCGGACAACTTTCTGTACTGACTCTGTCCGAGTCAAAACTGGCTCGGTCCGAGTCAGAAGTCTGTGAGGCCGAGTCTATTCATTTTGGTTCGTTCTGACTCGGTCGAGTCAACACTTGACTCTGGCCGAGTCAAAACTCTTGTAGACACTTTTTGGCCACGAGATCTAGGGTTTCACCCCGTTTCGATGCGCCATCAAGCCGTCTTCGACCCCCAAACTCATCCATGCATCATTCAACAATCAAAATCATCAAACAAGCATAGATCTCATGTTTACATGCATTCTAACCATTAAAATCATGAAAAACATGCAAAGATCTATGGTCTACATGCATTCTAACAATTAAAATCATGCAAACCTGCAAAGATCTATTGTTTACATGCACTTTAACAATTAAAATCATGCAAACAAGCAACAGGCACGGTGATATACAGAGAACCAGGCTCTGATACCACTGTTGGGTTCCCTGCGGGTTCCTAGCATGCGATCTCATCGATCTAGGGTTTGGATTCTAGGTTTCACGCAGCAGAAGGAAAGATCTAAACCTAGCCAAACGTCACACAAAACCAATTGTGCAATAATCCGAACAATCGTGTATATCGTCGTGGGATTCGAATACTTATCTCGGAGATGAAGGTGGATAAAGATAAAGTAGAGATCAAGCTGAGCTATTTACTAAATGTAAAAAAAAAAACAGAAAGCCCACCTACCTATGGAATGACAAGCATGTTCATATTTATCTACTGTATAAAATAAATGGAATGCGAGGCATGCTTTATGTGGAGATAGATGAGGTACGGGTTAAACGTGAATGTGAACAAAATATTGAAGAATAACCTATAGTTCCTACTGGTGAAAGTGGTGTTGGAGGTAGTAGAAAGCGAGATGGGATAGATTATGATGATTGTGTTATGTTGAGCCCTAATTTTAAGAGTAGAGTTGGAAGTAATAATGTGGCAAAAGTTATACATCTTTCTGACAGTGAACATTCTATTGCTCTTAGAGATGTTATAATGACTGAATGTGATGGTGATCATGATGATGGTGGTGATGATTTGGCCCTTGAGGTAGTAGCAGACTCTCGGTTTTCGAATTCTGTATCCAGTTTCAGTGATGGATTAAATATCACAATTGGTCATGAGTTTGACAATAACGAAGCAGCCCAAGAATTTGTTCGCAAGGGTGCATCTATAGGTCGTTTTCGTTACACTACACTGAAGTCCAATAAAAGGTTGTGGGAAATCAGATGCAAATTTGCTGAATCGGGTTGTAATTGGAAGTTGCGAACGACATTGATTTTAAACTCGGAGCGTTGGAGTGTAAGAAAACATAATTCCATGCATACCTGCAAACCCGTATCTGAAACAAGTGAAGTTTTGAGGGGTTTAAAGAAATTGGTTCGGGATTATTTGAAGGAAGAATTCCCCGGTAAACTTGATAGTACACCTTCAGCACATGAATTTGTAGACAAGGTAAAAGCTAAGTACGGTACAACCGTAACATATTTGACGGCATTACGAGGCAAACACAAAGTTAAAAGTGAGATTCGAGGTGATCCTACTGAGCATTTCAGAAAGCTTTCTGGGTGGTTGCACATGTTGCAAAAGAGAAATCCCGAAACAATTGTCGGTCTCGAGTTGGACAAAGATGGCAAAAGTTTCAAATATCTCTTCTTCGCATTGGGTGCAGCGGCAAGAGGATGGAATTACATGCGTAAAGTGGTTGCGATTGATGCAACATTTCTCACGGGACAATACAAGGGTACATTGGCCGTTGCAACGGCACAAGACGGTGACCACCACCTATATCCGTTAGCTTGGGGTGTTATTGACATAGAAAAAGATGCATCATGGAGGTGGTTTATGAAAATGTTAATAAAGGCAATCCTAGATGGACCTGATGTTGTCATGATTTCTGATCGACATGGGAGTATAATAAAGACCGTCAGGGAAGTGTACAAAGAGGCAGGGCACAGATTTTGTGCGAGAGATATAGCGCAAAATTTGAAAGTCAAGGTTAACAGAGGCAGGGAAGGAAAAGTTCGAGAGGTGAGACCGTTGCCGAACGGTTCTTCAAATGCGTGGAAACTTATACGTTGAACGAATTTGAAGACATGTTTACTGATATGAAGGACATGTACGAGGTTTTTTTAACCATTATTACCTAACCTAAAATTTTGATTTTTCTGAAACATGTGACCGTGTGACCATGTGACCATGTGACCATCGTCAATGTGACCATGTGACCATATAGTCATTTGTATATTGTGATCATGTGACCATTGCTTATTCTGAACCATGTGATGATGTGACCATGTGAACATTGTGTAGGTATCCCAAAGTTGCGGAGTATATACAGAAAAAAGAACTTGATCCCGAGAAATGGGCGAGGTGTAAATTTAAACGTGAAAGGTACAATTTATTGACAATAAATGCGGCGGAATCAATAAATTCTGTAATGAAAAAGGCAAAAAGATTTCCGGTGCTGGGCCTTCTGGATATGTGTGTCTCCAAGACCGTGGAATGGTTCGATAGATATAGAGTGGAAGCAGGATGTGCCGATGATTCACAAAAAAAGATACCGCATGTTGACAAAGTGCTGCATGAGAGGTATGAAACTGCATGTACGTATGAAGTCATTGTGCTAAACACTGTTACAGAGGAGTTTGAGGTGACGGGTGAAAAGGGTAGAAAACACTTTGTTAGCATTGAAGATAGAACGTGCAACTGTAGGGTGTTTGATATCGATAAGATCCCATGCATCCATGCAATTGCAGCACTTCATAAGATTGGTAAAACGAATGTTATACCAAACTTGTGTTCTCCATACTATACGCGGGAGACATGGCGTCTTGCCTATCAAGAAACCGTGTATCCGGTTCCCGATTGCTGTGAATGGATTATCGATGACCCGGATGTTGGAAATCTTGTGGTTATGCCTCCAATAATGGATGAGAAACGACCATGTGGGAGGCCTAAACAAAATCGGTATCCTGGTCCTGGTGAAGCACGGAAGAGAATCAAAATGTAGCGGGAACATCAACATCGACAATGTCAGAGAGAACAACTATTTTGGAGTGAAAAACATCGACAATGTAAAAAATCTGTATAATAATTGTGTGGTTTATTGGTATTATGAGGTGTTACAAAACATTTGTACAATAATGTCAAAGAACTTTGGTTAATGATGTTGTAATGTGTTTGTATAATGTAATGATATATAATATTGTGTTTGTACCATGATAAAGATGTATTATTGAAGATGATTTTTGACATATATCTGGTTTAAGTTAGACACTATATGAATTGACTCACATGAGATAACGTTGTGACCCATTGTGACTGGCATGTGACCATGTGACCGGAGTGCAATTTTGCACTGTGTGACCATTGTGACCGACTGTGACCCGTGACCGAAATGTGTTGATAAATATAGGCCAAACTTGAATTTTAAAGTTTGGGGATGGTTTATCAGAGTGTATATATCAAATATATAGTGTTAAAGGCAAAATTTAATTTTTTTAAATGGGTTTGTAGAAGAAATATATCAATTTTGCCAAAATTACTCATAAAACAATATGAACCATATAGGAACACATTTGGAATACCAACTTTGAAACCAAAAAAATCACAAAACCCATGTTTTATTGTTCAAAACAATATAAAATAGGCTTATGAAGGATGTGTAACGTTGTAAACTGATTAAATTGACAAAAATCACATGGATCGAAGGTTGTGACTGGTTGTGACCGACTGTGACCCATTGTGATCGAAATATGTTGTGGGACCCATGCGAAGAAATAGTCAGAATTCGCCATATTTTTTGTGTTTTGTGGGTTCCAGTTTGAATATTCAACCCTATATTTATTTTCTCTCCCAAATTTTAACCCTAAAATTTTTCCCTCTCAAACTTTAACCCCCAGATTTTTCCCTCCTAGATTTTAACCATATATTTTCCCTTCCAAAGTTTAACCCTCAAATATTTTCCTCCCAAATTTTAACCCTATATTTTTTTTCTCTCTCAAATTTTAACCCCAAAATTTCATCTATTAAATTTAAACCCATAATTTTCTAAAAAAACATTAAGAATCCGAGATTTTTTTCCAACTTAATACAAAGAAACATAAATACTAATAAAAAAGATAATGTGAAACAAACAAAAGTAGTCTTAAAAAGGGTTCAAAATAACATAAACGTAAAAAAGGTTTAGGGATCGTTCACTCTCTCTTCTTCCTAAACCTCTGAGGCTTGCCATTAGCGAATATTGCTGCTGCTAGTTGTTCACGGATCAGCGTGACATTGTCATTGCATATCAACGATAATAGCATCCGCTCTTTGGCAAGGCAAATGACTTCGATATACTTCACTGCGAAAACCCTGCATTCTTCCCCATTGTTTTGGGGTACGTCCTGCACATACTCAATGTCCAATACATCTCCATCAGCGAAAGCTTCCGACCCAGCGAGGCAATACAACTTCGGAACGACATGGCAGAGTTTTTGAACTACCTCTTTCGCCTTTTCATGCAGTCTGGATTGGCAATCGTAGATTTGCAGAGTTTTCTCACTGAAATCCACTTTAATGGCAATCCAATTGCAGCTGATTTCATCATTGCCAAATCCGAGAACATTAAGCACACTCACAAATCCCTCGTAGTTGATCAACAACGTCCCTACACAGCCAATTGGAAGCCTTCCGTTGAAGTATGGCTGTAGATCGCCCAAAGTTGTCATATCTCCCGATTCGGCCCATGTATTGATTAACTCTACAAACATGGTGTCACACACCAAGTAATTGCATCCAATGAAGGTCACGGGATTCTTTATAACGTGGGTTCGGAGTTGGTACATCGCCTCATCCATGTGCTACAGAATAAAACAATACATGTCAGTAAATACAATCAACATTAAATCTTGAGATTCTTTGACCATGTTACCTTGTGACTGTAGGATCGTGATCGTGTGGCCACCTGACTCTGTGATTGTGTGACTGTGTGATTGTGATTGTGATTGTGTGACCGAGTACACTTACAGTATCTGTGAGCCATAGTCCGACTTCCAAAAGCGTCTCCCAAAAACTTGGTTCCCGCTCAACATTCAACCCTCACTTCCACAACCTTTTTTCTTCTGGCTTCTTCATAAATTCCCAAAGAGCTTAAGCCCTTGGTCCATCGCATTCAACAAAAGATTAATTCCGGATAAGGAACTTACCACTACTGTGAATGCGCTCAGGATTCCACACATACTCATTTTCTCCAACAACCTCTTTCTCGGTTGAATCCTCAACGACCTCAGCAACTTCAACATCCTTCTGGCTCGTATTGATGGTGACTCTACCTTTTCCTCTACCCCTACCTTTTCCTCTGCCCCGGTATGCATGGGATCAGGTTCTTTTTGCAGGGGGGGCACTTGATATTGGATCGACATAGGGACTTCTCTTGGTCAGACCATTAGCAACTTTCCTTTTACTCCTTTTCAATTGTGTTGGGGGGATAACTTCTGCTTCAGGTTGCGTGACTACATCTTCGTTAGGTTTTCAGACATTACATCATCCTCATTGGCTTTATCATCATCTAATGCATCATCTTTATCATCATCTTCTTCATCTTCTTCATCATCTTTATCATCATCTTCTTCATCATCCCCATCATCATCCCCATCATCGTCTTCAGAATTGTCACCATCATCATTATCATCGTCACCTTCAGAATCATGACCTTGAGAACCGTGACCTTCATCCTTATCATCATCACCTTCAGACTTGTTATCACCTTTATCATGATCACCATCACCTAAACAAAAAACGATGAATACAATTAAATTAAATTCTGTGACCATGTGACCTAATTACATTGTGACCAAAACTTTATTCCAGTACTTACTTCCTACTTGTGCAGTAATAGTAGCCACAATTGTGTCAAGTCCCGAACACCCTTCTCCTTTATGTGCATTCTTGGGCGAGGCAGCCATAGGAGTCCCATCTCGAGACTGCAATATAAAGTCTTCTTCCTCTCCCTTATCGTAATATTCATCAGTCCCAACAGAATCTATCGGACTTGTCGGTTTTGCTTCTTCATACTCTGGTTCTTTGAATGTTGGGCTCATCTTCACTTGTCCAGATCAATCGGACTTGTCGTCAACCCCTTTGTGTGTCGGGGACTTGTCCTCAAAATTACGGGCTCTGTTGAATTCTCCGTAACTTGATCAACAAGGAACTTGATCAGAAAGAAGCCCAGCGTCCTTGAATAGCCGTCGAACAATATCACCAACAGAATCGATGACTCGGCTCGCAGACGCTTTTATTTCCAACTGTATATATTCCTTAAGTGCTTCAATATGTGACAGCCCCGTTACTCCTTGACGAAAAGCCCTCTGTTATTGTTGTTGTTGTTGTTGTTGTTGTTGTTGTTGTTGTTATTGTTGTTGTTGTTGTTATCGTCGTTGCTACTGCTCTCGTTCTTGTACTTCTTCTTCTTCATCTTCTTTCTCATCTATTTCCTCTGAATCATCGTCTATCAATACTTTGCGCTTACCCTTCCTTTTCGTCTCCAATGACTTTCTGCAATGCATCTGCATCGCGACTCTTCTTCCAACATATGCTTTCCGGGTTCTTTTTCAGATGTTGCATCCAAAATTGAACCTTTGCATCTGTACTCCTTTCATACCCTTCCAAATAAAAAAGAAGTGCTTCTTCACCGCTTTCTATCTGCAATATGCTTTTAATACCCTGAAAACAAATGTGATTCAATGTTACTATAAGTATTCATTATGAATCATGTGACCATGTGACCATGTGACCACATGATTATGACACATTATGTGACTATATGACTATGTGACCATGTGACCATGTGACAATATGACCATGTGACCATGTGACCATGTGACCATGTGACATATGACTATGTGACCATGTGACCTTGTGACCATGTGACCAGTGACCATAAAACATAGTCACCGTGTGATCATCGCCAATGGTGCCATGTGACTATGTGACTATCTGATTATGTGACCACGTGATTATTGTATATTGTGATTTAGGCATACCTCTGATTTCTTTCCAATCTTTTTTATGACATTACCAAAGGTCCAGCGGACATTTGCTTTCACGGACTTCTTGCACATCCTAGGACACCCCGGATATGCTTCTTCAACATCTTTATACCATCCATTGCAACCCAAGCCGGATATACATTCGAATGGAAACAACTGAAACATATTGTTTAAACATTATCACACAACAAACAAACCCTCAAATCATAGTAACATATATAATGACAACTCTAAATTAATCCATTAAACAAAAAATAATTACCATAAGGGGTATTATAAATCCCCGACAGTGCCATTTTTCCTTCAGAGTTCCACTCGCGAAACTTTTCCGTATCTGATCATTGATCTTTTCAAATGTATATCGTCCCCACGGAAACCTTTCGCAGAACTCCAAATCATTCACCATGTCCACCAAATCATTGTTGATACTATCTTCTGTAGTGCCATGGTCCAGATTCCCTCCGAGTATCATCACCATGGCCAATTTCTTCTGATCAGCAACCTTAGCGATTGGCGTCTTCTCAAGTTGTCTAAGAACGTTTTGCTTAGACACTTTCCGATTCCCAAACATCTTCAGTCTGAACTTGTCTTTCCTTTTGTACTCCCACCCTGGCGGATATTCACCGCATTTCAATCCCGATATCAAGGCGTGCTCCACGATGGAGTACCTGATGGGCACTCCATTGACGACAAACCATAGCTCGCAATCGTCCTCGACCAACACTGCGCGGTTGATGAGGAATGCAGCAGGTGCCATCTTCAGTGTCTCTTCGAATTTGGTGTGAAACAGATGCTGAAACTGTGACTCTTTGCTAAAGTACATTTATTCCTCGTTTAAAGTCTCAAACCAAAATTCTATTTCGAAATCCCCAAATTTCAAAAATGCCCAAAACTCTAACGCTCTATCCTTCAAATTTCCAACCCACACTTCAATCGAACAACAACTGTGTTCATCTAACTCCGAAATTTGCAAAGAAAT